AGAGACTGACCAAGAGAGAGATCTTGGAGTCATAGTAGAGAACTCATTGAAAATATCAAGACAGTGTGTGACTGCAATGAAAAAGGCCAATGCTATGCTTGGGATTATTAGAAAGGGAACTAAAAACAAATCAGCCAGTATCATAATGCCCCGTATAAATCGATGGTGTGACCTCATTTGGAATACTGTGTGCAGTTCTGGTCACCACACCTCAAAAAGGATATTATAGCATTGGGAAAAGTGCAGAAAAGGACAACTAGAATGATAAAAGGGTTGGAACACTTTCCCTATGAGGAAAGGTTAAAGTGCTTGGGGCTCTTCAGCTTGGAAAAACGATGGTTGAGTGGTGACATGATTGAGGTTTATAAGATTATGCATGGGATAGAGCAGGTAGAGAAAGAAGTACTTTTCTCCCTTTCTCACAATACAAGAACTCATGGGCACTCAATGAAATTCCTGAGCAGTCAGGTTAGAACAGGTAAAAGGAAGTACTTCTTCACCCAAAGAGTGATTAACACATGGAATTCACTGCCACAGGAGGTGGTGGCGGCTACAAGCATGGACGGCTTCAAGAGGGAATTAGATAAGCATATGGAGCAGAGATCCATCAGTGGCTATTAGCCACAAGGTATAGATAGGAACTCTGGGGCAAGTGATGCTCTGTATTCTTGGTCCTTGGGGGGGGGGAAAAGTGGGAGAGCTTCTAGTGTCCTGGCCTCACTGGTGGACCTCCTGATGGCACCTCGTATTTTTGGCCACTGTGTGACAGAGTGTTGGACAGAGTGTTGAAGGGCCATTGGCCTGATCCAACATTGGCTTCTCTTATGTTCTCTTATGTTCTTATATTCCTTTGGAGTGAGTCTATTTCTTTTAAGGTTAAAGATGCTGGCCCTGAGTCTCACTCACCTTAATCTGCTCCCTGACTGACTGTTTCAGAAATGGTAAAGTTGGCTGCCCTTTCCCCTCCTGGGCCCTGGAGATTCCACAGAGGCCCCCAGGAAGCTTGTGCAGTGCTTCCGGCCCTGGAAGTTGCTAGAGTGAGGCTGTTAGCAGTGTGAGTTGTGGTGTCCCTGCTGCCCGGGAGAGGGCGGGGCAGGAAGGGACGCCACAGCTCACCCTGCTAACAGCCATACTGAAAGCAGTCAACCTCATGGAAATGTGTCAGTGATTACCCAGGATGGAATTCCCCCATAGCAGCTTTTCACTTGGCTCTTGAGCTGCTTGACAATTTGCCAGGCGCATCGGCCTGCTTCACTGCAGCATCAGCAGGCAGGGTGAGGCTCCTTAAAAATGGTTGAGGGGCTCAAGGGTGGAGCACCATCAAGAGCTATCAAGAGTGGCAGCTATTAAGAGTGGCAGCCAGCAGACCCCTGTGGCTCCCCAGCACCACCAACTGACCCAAACGTAAACCCAGCCTTCCCAAGTGGAACATAGATCTGGATCTGGTCAGGGAGGGGAGGGAGGCTTGAGGGTGGGTGCAAGGTTCCTTGGCCTTCCCTTCCCCTGTGAGCCTGGAACTGGCCTTGTGGCTGCAGCCAGCTGCTCTGACCTCCTTCCCTGTCAACGGCCACCGTGCAGAGTGGGGGGACGTTCTGGCTGGGCAGAGGAGGCCTGGGGCGAGTGGGAGGCAGGCGAGAGGCCAGAATGGTGTCTCTCTCTCTCTCTCTCTCTCTCCGAGCTGGCTCCAGCGCTGGGCTCTGCTGGCCCGGGCCCGGCCCTGCCCTGCCCTTCCTGGGTGTGCTGCCACCTTCTTCCCCGCTGGGCTTGGGGGTGTCGGCCTTGCCCAGTGGGCCGCCCTGGGCTCCCCGCTTGCGTTCCGCTCCCCCGGCCGTGGCTGCCTCCTGGTCTTCCCCGGCCGCCTCCGATGATGCCTGGGCCTCTCCTCCCCTCTCTGCCCTCTCTTCTGCCGCCCAGCCTTCTCCTGGGGGCCTGATGTCTGAAGAGGGAGCTTTGTCACCCACCTCCCGTGGCCTTCGAGAAAAGGGGGGGGGATGCAGTGATGAGCGCGTGCCCACGCTCCTGCGCCCACAATTCGGACTCCAAGGCAGCAGCAGGAGAGGAGCCCGGCGGGACCTGCTTTGTGCTAATGTTTTGTGTGCCCCCTTTCCAGAGACCTGCTCCGGGCGGCACACAAGTGAAAGCGCCACAATAAAAAGATCACGGTGCCATAACGGGGGGTGGGGGAGAAGCCATGTCGCCCGGCTGGCTGTCCGACGTGTCCCCCCCCCCCATGGAAACCCATTTGCATCCACAGGTGGCCCCCAAGGCCAAACGCCCAGTGGCCGCCTCTGTGGCCTTCCCTGGGCTCCTGCGTCCGCTCAAAGGCCCCCCCCCCCCGCTGCCCAAAATTTCAGGCAGAGCAAAAGTGGCTGCCGAACGCACCTCCCAGCTTCTGGTGCACCAGCCCCACGGGGGGGGAGGGGCTGGCCTCGGAGAGGAAGTGACTCTGGAGGGCTGGCGGGGGGGGGGAGGAAATGGGCCGGAGCTGGGGGGAAGCAGATAGGGGGGAAGCGCAGGCCAGCAGCGGGCCGGGGTCAGGCGGAGAGTCCTGCCCCTGGAAAAGGTGCCGCTGGGGTGGCCGAGGTCTGGTGGCGGCTCCGGGCTGGGCTTGGAGCCGAAGGACTTTCCCGCTCGGGAGCGGAGGCCAGCCCAAGGGGACTCCGTTGGGTAGGAGACTTTGGGGTGCTGGGGGTGGCAGGAAGGGAGAACGTCTTTGTGGGGTGGGCGTGGGCGGTGCATCTTCTTCAGAACCCCCAAGTGGGTGGAGGTTGGCTCAAGGTGGGGGGGGGGCAAGTCAAAGGCGCGTCTTCAAGTGCTTCTGGGCACAATGGCGCACGTGGGCCGATTTAGAAGCCACCTGCTAGGTGGCCCCAAGGAGCATGAGGGAGACTCTCGCGTGATTCCTGAGCTGCCAAAGGTCTTCTGCAGAGGGGTTTGGAGCACAGGTGCCCGGGCAGAGAAACCTTAGCCTATGGGTGACTGGTGCAGCTGCCGTGGCCCCTGCCACTAGGGGGGTGGCCACTGCTCGTGTCCCCACTCCCGCGGAGGAGGAGGAGGAGGAGAGCCACAGGCTTCCACTGCTGCTTGGGCAGCCAGCTCCTGGTGGCAGTTCCCACCCACCTCGTAGGGGGCGAGGGCCGCCCCTTGCTTGGTCCCAGTGGCGGCGTGGCGGCGTGCCTGGGAGGGAGGGAGGGACCAGTGGGGCGGAAGGATCCCCATGACCCTCTCATCCGGCCCCCTTTGTTCTGCAGCTGAGCCTGTGGAAGGCGGTGTCCAGCTTCGGCTGGGTTCTGCCCTAGGATTCGCTTCAAGGTGCTGGCTTTGACCTTTAAAGCCCTTAATGGTCTGGGGCCTGCCTACCTGAGGGGACCGCCTCTCCCCATATGTTCCTCCAAGGTCCCCCCCCCCAGGCCTAGGGACGCTGGGTTAGCAGTAACTAGGACCAGGGCATTCTCCCTGGCGGTGCCAGCGCTGTGGACCGAGCTCCCTCAGGAGACCAGAGCGCTGCGGGACCTCCAGCAGTTCGGTAGAGCCGTTAAAACGGAGCTCTTCCGCCAAGCGTTCCAGCAAGAACGGACTACGCCGGTGGTGTTGCACGAGCACTTTATCACAGGATGTATGCGCTGGGATTTTATGGAACTGTATTTAGATGTGTAACTGTTGGTGTTAACTGTATGTTGGTTTTAAATGGTTTGTAAGCCACCCTGAGCCGCTTCGGCGGGAGGGCAGGGTAGAAATTTAATAAATAAAGAAATAGGAGATGAGAAGTTCCCTGGAGTCCGGGGAGCTGAAGTGTGCAAGTGAAGCAGAGTGCCGTTGGCTAGCCGGCCAGCCAGCCAGCCGGTTACAACTTCCTCCTGGCAGCTTCCGTCTCCCCCTCCCCAGCGGTGTATCTCATGGGCTCCTTCCTTGCTTTGTGGGCTTATCAAGCCAGGCTCCCTGGCAGCTGCCTTCCTCTTGCGGGCAAGGCTGTCTGTCGTGTGCCGGAGAGGCCCCCTGACAGATGGCCCCTGCCACCCACACCCGCCCCTCCGGGCTGATCAGCCGACTCCTCCTCCTCCTCAGGTGTCCCCTGGAAGGGCTGCCGGAGCCACGGCTTCCGGCTGCGAGGCCCCTAGGATGAGAGGGTGGGACTAGACCACCGAGCACAGCGGGGCTATGAGAGGGGCCCAAGGGCAAGCGGACCCCCTTGCCGGGCTGCTGGGAGGGCGGGAGGCCAGCGCTTCCCCGAGGGGCTCAAAGCCTCTCTGCTGGCTCCGCCCGTCAGGCGCCGTTTTCAGAGAGCCGGGGTGGGGGTGGGTGGGTCCCTCCTCGTGGGTCCTTGTGGCTCCAGCTCGGGAACAGGCAGCAGCTCCGCTGAGGGGCAGGGCGCTTTGGGCTCTGTGGGGCTCAGAGAGTGGCACAAGGACGCGTGCTTGTGGTGGGTGGGGGGGTGCGCACCCAGGTGCCAGCCGGCGGGGAGCCTCGTGTGGGGGCAGGTCCTGCAGCAGAGGTGCCGGGGGGGGCTTTCCGGAGGGAGCAGAGGGAGGGCCCTCCTCCCAGCGGGCTTCTGCCTCTTCGTAGCTCCCCTCACGGCTGATTTGCACACCTCTCGCTCCGTCCCACGTTTTCTGCAATGTGTGTCCGTAGGAACCAACGGCAGCAGCCAGCGCTCACCGTGCGTGCGCGTGCACCCTCTTTCTCGCTCCCCTCACCTCCCCCCGCCCCGCGGTAGTAACCAGGCGTCCCCTCCTCTCTCGCAGGTGAAGCAGGAGTGGGGACTCCCTGTCGGCCGCCATGGTCGCCCTCTCCCTCAAGATCAGCATTGGCAATGTGGTCAAGACGATGCAGTTCGAGCCCTCCACCATGGTGTACGACGCCTGCCGCATCATCCGGGAGCGGGTGCCCGAGGCGCAGATGGGGCAGCGTAAGTGATCGGCCGGCCGGCCGGCCGGCGCCCGTTCCCCGAGGCCAGAAAATGGGCCCTCACTTCTGGCAAGGGAAGGCAGCTGGATGCCTTCGCTTTTGGAGGGGGGAGTGGGTGTTTTCCTGGTTTAGTCTTTGGGACAGTGCCGGGGGGGGGAGGGGGGCGGAAAGCAGAGTCTCTCTGTGGGGTGGAAGAGCAGCCTGGCTTGGTCCGACTGGCGGACGCTGCTGTCCCCGTGCGCTGCTTGTTATTGCCAGTGGCCTAAAGCCTCTGTGTAGGAAGAGTTTATATGTCTGAAGCCCAAAAATGTGGGCCAGAAATCCTTGGGCTTCTGACCTGCAGTCCCAACAAGGCCCGGCATAGACACCAGTTGACCAGGCGGCCCAAGTGACCAATCGGAAGGCGCTGGGGTCCTGGCCAATCCTCGTCCTTCTCCCTCAGAGTCCTCAGTGTAAACGGGATCTTTACGTTTCCCAGATGTAGCCATCATCCCACGAGACCCGTAGCAGGAACTCTGGGGTCCTGGCTCCTGTGGGACTGACTGTGCACAAATTGTGCTTCCTCCAGCCAGTCCCAGCGCATGTCTGCCTTGAAGGTTTTCCGCCACTGCTGGCTTGGCCCAGGAAGCCACGTTTGGGGGACTGGGCAGCTAAGAAGACTGCAGTGGAAGCTGGCACAGGGGAAGGGAGCGGCCTGTTTACAAATCCAAGTTGACATCTGCTGCTGCTGCTGTTGCTGCTGCAGCGGTGGCGGCGCCGCCGTCCCCTTTTTGTCCTGGCTTGTTGAGCCGTCTTCAGCACAGAGACTCCAGGCAGCTCTTGTGCTTTAAGCAGACGCCGCCCCAAGCTTTAATCTCTACCGTAGCGCAACTGTACTGTCAGGATTCCTTCATGTGCACGGGGAACTGGCCTCTTAAACTCTGTGTCGCCACAGCAGCCTGCCTCGATTAGGAGAGAGGCCCGTGGTATTTTGCTTTGGATTGGCTGTATCCAGTGTTCCCTCTAAAGCTGAGTTGGTGTGAGCCTAACTCACAGTTTTTCAGCCTCTAGCTCACACATTTTTGGCTCAGCTCAGGAAGGAGGGCTCCAGAATAAACTGATTTATGCAGTAGCCAAATGGCTCACTCACAGCTTTAATGCCAGTAGTAGCTCACAAAGTAGAATTTTTGCTCACAAGACCCTCCACGGCTCAGAGGGAGCGTTGGCTGTATCCTCTTGAAAGACTCATTTGTGCCTCTGTGCAAAAGTCGTAAGTACGCCAAGCCATATGTAAAGGCGAAGCTGCTGGTAATGTGCTCTGGGCTCCAGGGCATGTTCCAGGAGAGTCACTGCTCTTTTCCAGCCAATGACTTCGGCCTGTTTCTGTCTGACGAGGACCCGAAGAAAGGGATCTGGCTGGAAGCTGGGAAGGCTTTGGACTACTACATGCTCCGCAATGGGGTACGTCCTTCCTTCGGGCTTCCTAGAGGGACTGGCTCAGTCCATTTTGGGTGCCTGTCCGTGCCTTCCTCCCCAGATAGGGCTCCTGGGTGGTACTGGAGGTCCCCTTGCCTGGTGGGCTTCCTCCCCAGATAAGGCCCCTGCCCAGGTGTCCTGGGCAACCTCCCCCCCCCCCCCCCCCGCTCTCGGGGGGGGGGACCTGGCCTTGTTGCGCTGTCCCTTTCAGGACACCATGGAGTACAAGAAGAAGCAGCGGCCCCTGAAGGTCCGCATGTTGGATGGGACCGTCAAGACTGTCATGGTGGATGATTCCAAGACTGTTACAGACATCCTCATGACCATTTGTGCCAGGATTGGTGAGAGCAAGGGGGGGGGGAGTGCGCACACCATGGGAAGGAGGAGCTGTTCCTGGAACCCAAAGCTGGTTCCTTCTGCAGGGCACCCTGGAAAGAATTCTCCTGTCTCTAACTGTGGGCGGGGCAGGGTGGAGCCTGGCTGGGACATTGGCGCGGACTCCATCTTCTGGCTGAGCCCGTGGCCGTGACATGCTGGCAAGAGTGCTTCTCACCCCCCCCCCTTTTGCAGGTATCACTAACTATGACGAGTACTCTCTCGTGAGGGAGATCATGGAGGAGAAGAAGGAGGAGCAGACCGGCACCCTCAAGAAAGACAAGACCCTCCTGAGGGACGAGAAGAAGATGGAGAAGCTCAAGCAGAAGCTGCACACGGATGACGAGTGTGAGTGAGTGCGTGGGGGAGGCACTGCTCAGGGAGGGGCCGCTCCCAGGGCTGCCTGGAGACGCCGCCCCAGCGAGATGCCTGGCTGCAGTGGCAGCACCACGGACGGCACGGGAAGAGCCTCCGTCCACCCCTCCTCCTCCTCCTGCTGCTGCTGCTGC